TCTAAAGGTAACCTAATACAACCACATACGATTTAAAGAAAGAAATTGAACTTGAATTGCGTGGTAGAATCGAGAGTAGACGGTCCAATGATAGTTGCTGAAGGCAGTGAGATTTCGGCGAAGATCCAAGCGTTTCTTTCACGCCAAATGGAGTAAACAATTGTTTGGAGAATGAACTTGATAATAGCAGTAGTATGGTTGATCCAAGAAATTGCATCATGTAAATCCATTGGAGGATTCAACCATACAGTTTAGGCAAAAAAACTCCAAATTCCTGCGGAGAATACACACTCAAAGAAAAGATAGTCGTGGGTATCCACACCGGAAGCAAAAAAAATATATTCGGATGAACATTCAATCCCCATCTTCTTAGCATATCCCTTGTTGGAAGTCTTTTGAGACTTCCCAAGCAAGTAGAAAACAAAAACCGAGGAACAACTTCTAAGAACTATATCACTTTAGCCAAAAAACCATAGGAAATTGAATCTTTAATTGCTCACACATATCTTTCGGATAAAAATTTGGAGTAAACACACCTCCCGCATTGCGCGGTAGAAATTTATCATATCCTCGACAACATTAGAAACTGCAATGTCCTTAAGAGAGATGAGAAAACTTTAAATTTTTTTTGGCTGAGGGCATATTATTTATACCATATTTTCAGTCCTTATTATTCTTCTTACATCAACCATTTACTTCCTTCTTGATGTTTATATTTTCTTTTTTTGCTAAATTAGGTTTATATTTTCTATTACTTTCAGAATTTGAAATGGTGGGATCTCCAAGCTTGTTAGCATATTTTGGTACACTGGATTTTTCCAATTCCAACCATTTTATGAAGTGGTTACCTTGATAAATACCTTGTTAAACATGTTATGACAATATTAGCTTTTATGTCTATTTCAAAGGATTATCGCTTAGACAAAAATCATATAATTACTATCATTTTTTAAACTGAGTTTGCTTTCAAATGATCATTTAATCACTTCTTTAAACAAAAGCGCCGGTCTTTAAACAAAAGCACCAGACTGATCATTTATGTGTTCACTGCATTATTGAGCTTCTTGAGACATGTTACAATGTCAACTTTTATTTAAGCAACTTTTGGTTCAGCTGAACAAAACAAGGTATGTGGCTTAGCCACAATTTTTATGATATTCCAAATATTTGGGTTGTTCTTAACCATACAATCTGATTGATTCAATTATCAAATATATACAAATTTTTGGAATTGTTAGAGTAATTGTATAAAATAAAAGATTTAGTTTGATCACGAGTATATATTTTGTCTAAATTGTTTATTAGGTTTATTGAGGATATTTTAGTAAATTAGTATTTAAGAAAGAACAGTGCTCAAAAAAATAAAATAAATAGGTATTTTTCCAAATTTCCTCTAATTTTTTTTGGCATTTTTGGTTGTTTTATGTCATTTATAGTTTTTGTATGGTTACTAAACCAAATTTTCCATATATATATGTAGTGACCTGCAAAAGTGATTTACCATCACTACTTGAATATTTTATTACTATCCTCTAAAAAATAAGTTTTCTATTTAAGCAAAAAATGAGTTTTTTTCTTCGCTCCATCGGTTTTTTTTCCTCATTTCCAGCTTTCTAAACACATCTGTTTCTCCTTCACCACAACACTTGTGTCATCCCGAGCAAAGAGATGCGTTTCTGGAGTTCAAGACTGAGTTTGAGATTCAGACGCCTGGTTTGAATATTTCATCGGAAGTCTCTTCTTATCCCAAAACAGATGCTTGGATGAGTAAGAGTGATTGTTGTTCTTGAGATGGCCTGTGATACTAAGTCGGGAAAAATGATTAGGCTAAACCTTACTGCTAGCTGTCTCAGTGAAATTTTAATAAATGCCATGTTTGAAGTGCCACTTTATAAAAATGTCATATTTTCAAAATCTTTGCAAAAATGTTATTTTCAATTTTTTTTTTTGTTATATCATTTATGTTTGGGTTAATTATATTGTATTAGGGTTTAGCTAGTTTTGAAGATTTAAGGGGTTTTAGGGATCAAAATAGTTTTTAGGG